TAAGGAAAGAGTACAGTTTGACATTTGCTAAAGCTATGGAAGCTAAGCTATTTGGAATTTAGTAATGAGGATTATTTGAATTTGATAATAATTTATGGAGAGTGCAACCAAATAATTGCGCGTATGTGTCGGCTGCAACATACAGGAGCCTAAAATTGAACAAAAATTTCAAAAATGTAATGAAATACAGGATGTTCTATTTGAAATATGAAAATTGTCACCTCTTCCGGTGTAACCGCAAGCACCCGGAACCTGAAAATATTTTAGTAAAAAGCTGGCATCAAACACAGAAGTCTGCAAATTTTCAAAAGGCCAGTTCATATGGTTATACACTAGGTCACACTAGGTATTCATGGGACAGGACACTAGGTTAAATATCGATATGATATGTATGCATTTTTCAAAAAACCATAATTATCTCCCAAACTATAAATGTTAGGTATAGGATATATGGGATATAAAAGATGTAAAATGAGACACCGCAGACGACTAAGTAATAAAATATGGGGGGTGCCATTTAAAAAAATGATGTTATGGTATTTCCAAATTTCGAAAAGTTAACGTGCCGTAGTAAAGTGACCAAACAATCTAGACAGCCGTATTCGGCACCAAAACATACTCCATCATGTTGCTTACGCATGTTCTGAATCCTAAATTGATATCCCAAAAATCGAGTGTTCTCTGATTTTTTTAACAAATGTCTGCTGGAGCAGATTTTTCTAGGAAAATTCGAATAACTCGAGAACGGCAGAATCAAATTGCAAAAAGTAAGATATTAAAGAAAAGGAGCGAAATTTGTTTGTTTGAAGATACAAGTTTCAAAAAAGCAGCTACGGCAAAAGAAAGACTGCTCTTGACGCTTCGCTTTCTTGCAATAAATGATTCCTATGTCAGCCTTAAATATTTATTCAAAAGTTCAACATCTGCAATATGTTACGTCATTCCCGAGGTATGCACGACGATAATTGATGCTTTGAAGGAGAATGTTCAGGTAAGTTAAATAAAAAGCATTTGATTGTTATAGATTGTCGTTTGTTATATTAAATGTTTATGCATGATTAGATCATGCATGCTTCTAAATATTAATTATGTTTTAAATTTGGAATTTTCTGAATCCCCTGAGTTTAAAAGTGTCAGTTGTTAATGGGCGTCTAAATGATATACTTGAATAAAGAACTGCTGGTGATGATGATAACGTCGTTGGAATCTGTGGATTTGAAAAACTTCTAGGCACGTCATATTTCTGATATCCGCATCAAAAATAATGTTATTCATTAAATTTTGCACTATTTTTGAGCATCGATCCGAATAGCAGTCCAGCTTACTTGCTACATATATGATTATTGTTTTTGACAAATTTGTTGGCCATAGAGTTTTAGAATACGTTCGCCTCATCAATTATGGGATCATGCCTCGGTCTTTTTCATACTTGTTTGGCAGTTTTAGTAATGTTGGTATTCCTACTTTGATGCTCTTTTCTTTTTGCATGATTTTGCAGGATTTTTGGTTATAGTTGGATTACCGTCAATCATTTCATTTTCTTTCATTCTAAAACAATCGTAAAAACAGTTATTGATAAAGTTACTAAGTTATCATTTGTTGTTTATTTCAGAAGACGAAAAATCCTGAAGAATTGTTACAAATAACTAGAGGATTTGAACAAAGATGGAATTACCTCAATTGTTTAGGTGCAAAAACGACAATCTTAAATTTATATTCAAATGAAATGTGTATTACAGACGTGGGAAGAAGAAAAAAAACTGGTAACATAGCAAACTGTCTCGGTACTACCTAAATCCAAGAATTAATCCAAGTGAATGGTTCTAAATTAACTTGGTAAAAGAGATAAAACCTAAACAATTGCTGAAAAGAAAACAGTCGCTGAAAAGAAAAGAAGTGTCATAAATGCCACTAAGCTAAAAAAATTAAAAAAAAACACAGATAATACGCAATAAAAGACGTGGGGAATCTCTGCCGGGCCCTTAAAATTAACGTCAATACTGGACGTGAGTATTGAAATTTGACGCCCGTAGTAAATGGAAAATTAAGGTCATGCTGAAAAACCACCATACGAACACTGGTCCAGATAACATCAAAAGTGATGTCACTCAATGTGACCAATAAAATCATAAATGTGCAAAACAGGGAAATAGTAATTAATGCCAAACTCCTGCTATTTATGGTGCTCTAGGACAATACAGAGAGCACTGAAAACTCCTCATAATAAATTACGAGCAGAAGTTCAAAATGAAAATAGAGGAAATACAAAGGAACAAATGCAAGAAATTCAGGAGATATGGGCATACGAAAATATTCTGTAGTTACGCAGAAGTGAATAATGCACAAAAAACCAATCATTGGAGAAGTTTGCTAGGCCCAGGAGACATAAACATATAAAAAAATTCTATAGACACGCAGCAGTTTGTGTGAAAAGCCCAGAAAACTATTCGTCGGAGAAGTGTGCTAGGTTCAGAAATGTAGTGGAGTCGCAGAAATGGCGGGAAAACTTAGGCAACCTATAAAAAGCATCAAAATTTAGGAGTTTTTCTGCAAAAAAGTGTCTAGCGAAACTACATATTGATACGCACAATATTCACACCCTTTACATTAACGGAGTTCCCGTCCATAGCCACTTGGATTCTATCCACAATAGCTCAAATTCATAACATAATCTCATCATTCTTCATACTCTCAGCAATCCCCTAAGTGATAATTGTACCTTTACGACCTCTCATGGCCCATATCAGTAACTTTTCAACTTTTTGCAGTTACTTCAAGGGGTCTGTTTCGACAGAGACTCCAGACGGATGTCGTAACTTTACACTGTCTCACTTCCCATTCAGTGCCGGAGCTGTTCCACCCCTGCACAGAACTTTACGAGTCTCCTTTTACACAATACGGTGGTGCATTTACTACTTCTCACCGACACGTAACCTAGCTCACTACATTAAACACAACGATAATATAAACGTAAGAGCCCATTTGCTTACTCTGCTGATAGTAGAGCTTACTCTGCCCTTTTTCTGTTTCAGATCCAAGCGCGAAGGCCATAAGGGCCCCTGGACTGTACCATCGCAGAACGGCATTTTGGCAATACAACTCAGCTGTAAGTATACCTTCCCTCTCCCACATTTAACCTCTGTGCTTTGTTTCAGAACCAGTCCCGAGGACTATGAGGCACCCCAAGGTTTATAGAACATAAGGTTACCTCATTCCCTATGCCTCTGTAGTATCGATTATTACCCCGCAAATTGACGTCACTGGTTCGATACAGTCAGAATAAAAGATAGCCTATACTGTGGTACAGTCTATATAAAACATTTAAACCTCGCATCGTGTTGTGTTGTTCATAGAACCAGCTACGTCACTGACCCACCTTGCCTCTCAGAGGAGGAGAATCGGTATTGGGTAACCTTATGTTCTATAGACCTTGGAGGCACCCCAGGACTGTAGCATCACAGGATGGCATCGCGGCGACACAACATACTACATATCGACAAACGGCCGGCACTGGCACTAATCACCAAACTGCTCTAGTGGAAGATAAAGAATCACCAGTCATACAAATATTGCCACAGATGACGGCCAGAATGGATGAGTTCTCATAGACTCGTGCGTATAGAAACCAGATAAATCAGACTATCTATCCAGAAAACAGTGCGAATGGAGGAAGTGCAGAAGTAATTCCTGAAAAGATTGCGCACTGTCAAGATTTATCGATACAAAGAAACGATTTCTTTCCAAGTTACCCTTTATTGCCCACCTAGTCCTAAAACATTATGTCTTGTCTATTGTGGGTGAAAGGGGAGGTAGAATGTAATGATTGAAATACGTTCTTTTCCCGCTTGCTATAATCGCCGTTATCATTAGCTGCTCCCTGATTGAAGGTTAAATGGATGTAAAAATTAAAGTGCATCTTCGTATTTTCATTTTAGAAAAGTATTTCCTTACGCAAAAGTCGAAAAAAGATTTTTTTCGGACACTCACTGGAAATGCCTATATTTCCTTATTACAAATCGTAAAGAAAAGTACCTAATTTCTTTATAGCAACCAAATAAACAATTAATTATTTATTAGAATAAATATTAAACGTACAATTATTAAGGTTAGAGAAGCTTATACTTGATGTACACTGTTGTAACTGTAAATCACCACATGTTAGTGACGATTTTGATAACACCTCCTGATGAACTCCTGATGAATCACTACTTTATTTTTTTTGTTTGGTTGCTGTAGTGAGGGAAACGGCAGAAACGACAATTTGATTCTCGTCGTGTACTTTTTAAATAATTTCTTATAAAATGTAGGTAATTCATTTAAATTGAGTGTCCGAAAAAACTTCATGTATTATTCTTAAAGAAAAGTAACTTCTTCTTTACTCATCGCGTTTCTAATTCGCGATTCGTAAAGAAAAAAGTATACTTTCTTTACTTATAATACAAATAACTATTTTTTATCATCATTGTCGTGTCAGATGTCTTGTGGAGATTGCGTTTGGTATTTTGATTCGACAATGTAATTTACACTTGCAAGCACTGATCAGAAATCGTCAGATTTGTTCCGATCAAATATTCTTCCAAATTATCGCCGCAGCCACATGACCGTTGCATGACCGCAGGAAGACCGTATGTATGTGTGACCGTGACTTTATCGTTCGTTAATTGATAGTGTGAATAAGCTTTTCATATTGAATATTTCAAAGATATACAATTAACTTAATCATATTTAAATATAAACAACTGTGTGGTGTGTGAGTGCTGCTTTGATGATTAGGAAGATCGTGTGTGTTACAATTAACCAGTGCATGAACTTCAAAGTTTTCATTTTTTTTTGTATTTATCTTCGTAAATATTTAAAAATTGTTCTCGGTATTATTCTTAAATTCAAATTAAGAAATATAATTAATTCTTTTTTTAAGAAAGATGTATCTCTAACATTACAATACTCTAATGTCCTTAAATAAATATGTTAAGAAAATAATATTCAAATAAACTACTGTATAATATGTGATAATAATTTTATTCTTAATTATACAAGAATTACATAAGAATTATGTATTATAAAAACTTACTATAGATATAAATATAAACCGAATACACACTAAAAATGTTTAAAGTTATTAACTTTGGTAAGTACCAAGGAATGCGCTACAGTTTGGACAGTAGTGATTTGTGTTCATACATGAATCCATACAGTATGGTATACAACAACATGGCCAACATCTAAAACAAAAAATCCATTAAATATTTTTAAATTTGACAGGAAACATTATGACATTTTTTTTTACTTTCAATTAACCAGAAACAAATAGATATTTACCCGCATATGAACAGACAAAATGCCCACAAATGAGTTTTTGAGGTCGCTTTAGATTCCGTTTTGGTTATAATTCTGTTATTACAACTCGGACATGTTACATTTTGTTGTTTTGGTCCATACTGGGTCAATGGAGCAACAGAATGTAAAACTGTGGTTGTGTGAACTAAAAAATCAAAAATTAGTTAATGATTTGACAAATAATTATTTTTCTTCTACAACAGTAAAAATTTGTATCATAATTTTTCAGTTATATACTATAATTGCAGAGTTATAAAGCGCGAAAATGACAAATGTTATAGAGATTTCTTCTCCACCGAAAAATTAATTAAGATTAATTAGTTCACGTGGCAGCCATGGGTTCACCTTTGTCACCTGTAATGGCCAATTTTTACAGGGAGATGTTTAAGAAAGAAGCATTAAAGAAGAGTTCGTGGAATCCAAAGCTATGGCTCCGTTACGTAGATGATACCTTCGTGATTTGGCAATTGGGCAAAGAGCGATTCCAGAAATTCTTAGACCATTTAAACTCACGACACCCTATCATAAAATTTACCATGGAAACGGAAGCTACAAAACGGTTAGCTTTCCTGGATGTATGGAACTGGAACTGGAAGAAAACACACACGAACAGGTATCAGGCTTCATCCCGTCAACATCCACAACAGGATAAGTCGGTGATCCAAGCCTTGGTCCAACAAGCAAAACGGATATGCAACAAAAAGAATTTAACGAAAGAAGGATTTCTACAAGATGTACTCCAGAAGAACGGCTACACTTTGAGGGATATCTAGCGACCCACCAAACAACGCAAACTGAGGGAAGACGTGGTAAGTATTGCACCAGCTGGTTTTATCTGCCTCCGATATGTTTCAAGTGTGACGGAGCAGATTCCGAGGTGCCTAAAGAAGAACGATATCGATAAGACAAAGTGGTAGCAAGAACCGGACATTATTTCCAAAGGATGACAAGAAAGGTGATAGAAATTTTTCGATTTAGGAACAACATGAATAGAGAAGACGATCGGGAACTCAGCCGCACATGGAAGATGTTAGTTAACTCAACGAAGCCTTCTCTCTGATCTGAGAAAATCAATTTAGATTAAATATCTCTTCATATCTATATTATCAAACTCAGTATAATTTCCTAAATATTGTATTATTTTTAGAAAATGATGCAGTTTGTTAGCTAAATAATTTATTCCTGAAAAATGGTTCAAAGTCAAGCATCGAATTATGCATCATTTTAAAAAGGGAGTTTTCAAGCTTTAAATTGTTGTTCAAATTATTTTTCCTATGTTGTCAAACTCTAACTGATTTCGTCACTACGATCTAGTTTCTGAGGCAGGTTGCAATATGGCAACCTAAACGTTAAACACTTTTTCAAAAGACGCATGACTTAACAGGGAAGTTTCTAGTTCTAAGTCTAGTGATAATGTTAGCTTTCAACTTATAAGAAATTAAATGTTTACTAATTTTGTTACAAGTACCATTTATAAAGAAAAACATTTTTGCAAAACCCGAGTTGAAGTACTACTTGAAAGACTGTTGTGAATTTTTAAAATCTTCTCCTTAAATCCTCCTTGTATAATCAAGATGCGTTATAAATTCAGAATAATTTTGGAAGATTTCTAATATAACTTCGAAATAACACTCTTAATAAACGATCAGGTTTATTAAAGAACTAACCTACAACAACAACCTCCAAGACCATGGGAGTGGCAACAGTTAATTTGTTTGATAAGGGCAGAATTGAATATCAATCACTCCCTTTCAGAACATCCATATTAAATAACAGGAAGTAAATATGATAAATAAACTTTTTAATTCACGTTTTGTTAGAAATATAGTTAGAAAAAGTACAGAAAACTGGAGATGGGAGGGAAAAGAGATCGAGGAGGTTAGGAAGTATATTTACTTGGGGTATATGTTCAGGGAGGACAACAGGGAGGGGTCGCATGTGATAGCTATGGCAAAAAAGGCGAATAAGGTGATGGGACAAGTATGGGGTTGGGGGAAGAGAGTCTTTGGAAAGAATGTGGCAGCGAGGAAGATTATGTTTGAAGGTCTGGTTAGCAATGTGATGATGTATGGAGCAGAGATATGGGGATGGAGAGAGCAGGCAATGCTGGAGGACGTGCAAGCTAGATACTGGAGATGGGTGCTTGGGTGGCGAGAGAAACACCGGGGTATATAGTGAGGGAAGAGGTAAAGGTGGATAAGATCAGAGTGGAGGCGGGCAGGAGAGCAGTGAAATATGAAGAAAGAATAGAAGGGAGGCCAAACTGCGGGATCTTGGGGAAGTGTTGGAGGGAAATTAGAGAGGGAAAGATCAGATATGGGAAAGGAGACAGAGACAATTATTATAGACGAGCGGGCTACTCGGTAACTGAGATAAATAGTAGACGAAGGGTGGGTAGGGAGATCTGGAGGGAGTTAAGAGATAGAGATCGAGATGTGCAGAGACAGGAAAGAAGGACACAAATAAAAGAGGGAGGTATAACGAAAGGTATAGGGACATAATTACGGAGGGGCTGCCTAGATACTTGTTATTGGAAGGAGATGAGGAAGGGAAGAAGTTGGTGGCTAGGTTCCGTTGTGGAAACGAAGAGAGAGCTAACAGATACTGGATGGCCGATGAGGAGAGGTGGTGTAGGCTATGCAGGGAGGAATGGGAAACGTTGGAACATATGTTGAATGGGTGCAGTGAGTTGAGGGAGGAGGAGTTGGACCGAGGGCAGATCTTAGGTGAGGGGGGAGAGGGGAAACGATGGATGAGAATGGTTGTGGGGGTGAGGAGATAAAGGGATGGATGAGGGGATGATTGGGCCGAGGAGCCGAGGGTATGGAAATGGAGGAAGAGGGTAGAGGGTGAAAATAATATACTAATAATATATATTAGAATGTATTAAGAGGAAAATTGTAAATATCAAAAACAATAAAATGATTATTATTGTTAGAAATATGACGACGGAAAAGTGTAAAAATTTAAATTTAAACAGAATTTGAGAAAAAGAAAATTTTTAAAATTACCTTGCTGTACCGGAACACTTTGTGGTGGTGCATATGATGGTACATCACTTTGTGTTGGAGTATATTGTGGTGGTGCATATTGTGGTGGAGCAAGATCTGGTGGTGAAACTCCGGGTGGAGGAGGATTTTGTGGACATGGCATGTACTCTGTTTGACTCATATTTGATTTCTCCATTGCTATCTTCTAAAGATCTAAAAGAAACGTAAAAATGTTTTGATATTAATATGAAAGATTGTTCTTTAAATAAATGTAAAAATTTGGACACTTGATATCTACAGGTGTTTCAAAACAACGTTTAGAAATTTATAGAGCGTATACTACAGTCAAAAACACGTTGAAAAGTCTTAATCAACATTGATGTGATAATTACATCAAGTAATTATTTATATTATAATAATATTATTTCTTTTATGGCGCTTTTTCAGCGAGAAAAAGTAACAAGATTAATTTGTATGTTTAGACTGGTTTCGACTTGATAATAATATTTTGTTTATTTATTTTTCGTTTTTTATGGCAACCAGCCACAAATATTCCCCTCTCCAGAGAAAAATTACTATTCATTTAAATGAAACATTTAAATTGTTTTTTCTTTTAACTTGTTCTATGTATGAACTATTTAAAAGAAAAGCAGGTTTCAGTTTGTCAACACTAATGAGTTGTTCTCGATTTTCTTTAAAAATGCAAAAAGTTTTAGGAAATTTTTTAATAATTTTAAATGGTCCTTCATACCTTGCAGAGAAGAAGAAGAAATCTGATTTCTCTAGATCTTTATGTAAAAAAGGTTTATTAAGGGAATGATGACGCATCGTGGTTGATCTCAAGTTTGCAAAATGATTTAGTAAACTGATAAGAAGTGGAGACGTATCAATTGAACTATGAGAACTTAAGAAAAATTAACCTGGGAGTCTCAAGGGTTGACCATAAACTAATTCAGGATATGAACAACCTAAATCTTCTTTTATGGTTGAACGTAAACCAAGAAGCATAATAGGTAATTCATCTTTCCAATGAGTTGTATTCCCTCTAGCAATTAATGCAGTTTTTAAAGTTCTATGGAATCTTTCGACAATACCATTGCTTTGATGATGGTATGTTGAAGTGTGAATTTGAAACGAACCAAAATACTTATTAAATTCTTTAAATAATTGAGATTCAATAGAGTCAATTGAGAATTCCAAAACGTGAGAAGTAGTGAACGTAAAGTGTTTTAGTTGATGCAGTAATTGATGAAAAAGGAAAAGCTTCTGTCCATCTTTCAATTATTGTTAAAATGTAAGAACAACCACCAGAAGGAAGAAGGGGACCTACAATATCAATGTGAATATGTTCAAAACGGCCTTTAGGAATATCAATCTTCATAATTGGAGATTTTGTATGTCTTTGGATTTTTGAAATTTGACATTTAACACATGCTTTTGTCCAAAGAGATATATTGGAATTCATATGAGGCCAAAAATATCTTGTGTTGATTAATTTTTTAGAAGCTCTTATACCTGGATGAGAAATACTATGTAAGTCAGTGAAAATCGAATGACGTAATTTATCTGGAATATAAACACGTTGATGGGAAGGTGAAGAAATTTCACACCAAATTGGAATATTAGAAAATGGAATTGTTTCTTGTTTTAGACGAAATTTAGAATTAGGATTACAATTTTGAGTTTTAAGTAATTCTTGGAGTTGTTGATCTGTAGACGGAGCTTGTTGCAAAGTTTGAAAGTTCAGTTCGTACAAATCAAAAGAATCAGCATTGTTCTCTAACCTTGATAGAGCATCGGCAACAATATTGTTTTCACCCTTAATGTAAGCAATATCTGTTGAGTTATAAAGATAAGGTTAAAGGCTTATGATCTGTGCAAATTTTAAATTGATAGCCTTCTAAGAAATGGCGAAAATGTTTAATAGCTAAATAGATGGCTAAAAGTTCACGATCATAAATAAGTTGAATATTTTATTTGACTAGGGGAAAGTTTTTTTGAGAAAAATGCAATTGGTTGTGAAATGTTGTTGATCGATTGTTCTAACGTTGCTCCAATGGCATAATTGGAAGCATTGGTGGTAAGAATCAATTTGGCAGACGGGTTAGTGTGAGCTAAAATTGTAGCGTTAGCTAATGAAGATTTTGCCTTTTGAAAACTTTCTTCACATTCATTTGGCCAAGAAGAAATATTTTTTTGTTTAAGATTTTGAAGTGATGTTGATAGAGAATGAAGAGGATCGAGTAGTTGAGAAAAATTTGGAACGAACCTATGATAAAAATTTATCATCCCGATAAATCTTTGTAATTGTTTTAAAGTTTTTGGAATTGGGAAATCATTGATAACCGATATTCTTTCATTTGAAGGAAGAATTCCTTTTGAAGAGACAGTGTGACCTAAAAAATTTAATTGTGAAACTCCAAACTCACATTTTGAGAGTTTAAGACTAATACCATATTGGTCTAATCGATTAAATAGTTGCTTAAGATGATCTAAATGTTCATAAAATTGAACGCCACAAACATCATCATTTGATCTGAATGATATGGCCAATATGGTGTTAATCCACGGTTAATATGGTGCCAATGGGAATGGTTTGAGTACGTCATTTATATGCGGAAATATTTTCCAATCAGCAACTATCGTCACATGTAATGTTTCAAACAGTTTTTCACAGAAGCTGCTGAACGTCCACTAACTAACTCGCGTAACTCACATTCTGTTCACTGATGAAGCTGGTTGTACGAGAAATGAAATATTCAAATTACATAATCATGTGTGGTCTGACGAAAATCGTCGAGCCGTTGTGAACCAGATATCAACATCGTTTTACTCTAAATATCTGGTTAGGCATCATAGGGGATAGGTTGTTAGGACTGCTGGCACATGTTAGGACGATTTTACCACAACCGTGCAACAGTTATATATACTTTGATTTCCTGGAAAACACTCTTCCTACACCTTTGAGAGTAACTAACATTCCTTTCGGTGATGAAGCTAGTTTTACCAAAAATGAAATTTAAAAAACAACGGAGAATAGAGGATACGGCACAACGACGAACTATATGAGATATGACAACACACAAAATTAATGCGGCTCTGCTGGGCAGAGACACGTGCCCTCAAGAAAGTGTTTCTGAGACAACTAGGAAGAAGGCGCACGACTGGTAGACCAAGAGCATGATAGGGAGACAACGTGACCAGAGACGCTCGAGAGATTCTCGCGATGAGAAGCTGGAAAAGGGTGACCAGAAACCGAGTCGAAGCATAGAGGAGAAGCAAGGCTCGATTTGGACTGTAGCGCCATTGAAGATGAAGATTAGCAGTATTTAATATTTTTCCCACAGTAGGTATCTAGTCTTAGGATAACAGCATCTAGACCACCATTAGCACTATCTAGGTCTCTTCCAATAGTATCTAGATTTCTGCCAGCAGTAAATAAGTAATTCGTCTTATGCTTCTGTAATCAGTACACACTTTCAGCGGTATCTAGTCCTCTGCCAACAGTACCTTGTCTTCTTTCAGTAGTACCTTTGAACAATCGGGGAGATTTGCGCCAACGAATAGAACAGTGTTTGAAAGGGTGCAGGTTTGCTTTTAATGCAGAACTAGTAACTGTATTGATGCGTGTGTGCGATATTTTGCACAAAATATAAGAAGCAATAAAACCATTATAATAACAAATAAAACAATTTATTACTATTTGTTATAATTATTGTGATATGCAATAGAATCGTTTTCATAAAATCTTTTCAACTTGCTTTCGATCGTAGTATACGCCCTATAAATGTTTGTGTATAAACGTTGTTTTGAAACACTCTGTATAAAGATAAGTTCAGAATACCCGGCAATACATTATAACAGCTCAATAAATATTTATCAAAGATTGCTTCTACAATTTCAAAATAGGTTTTATAATGTAAATCTAAAAACAAGATGCTTACTTTTATATTTTAAGGCTATAATAAATCGTTGTATATAAAGTTACATTTTCAAGGTTAAACTAAAATGCACCAACTTAAATTTTTTTAAAGTATTTCAGGAAAACTGTAATCTTAATAGGTTTTCTACGAATTTTATACATTATAAATAAGATTAGTCATAGTGGCATAAGTTTATGATGAAATATTTCAAGTATTTTGCTAGCATAGGTATATTCTTGTTGCACTATTTATTTGATTCCGTCAGACCGTATTTCTGTTATCAAACTTATGAAGGGAGTGATAAACTGTGTAAATAATAAATCATGAGTACTAATTTAGACTATGCCATTGCAAAATCAAAAACGATACTAAAGTAAAATCATTAATGTGAATTGAATGTTGACATATAGAGCTACTTATAATTTCCAAAAAAATAACAGAGTTTGATATGATTTTATTATTTTTGCGCCATCATAGTAAAACATCTCTAAAAAGTATTTTGTGTCAAATCAGCACGTTGTTTTGTCTTTAATTGGCTAACGATAGTTCATAGATGAGAAATCTAATTAATTTCAAAATTATTACAAAAGACACTTACTTATAAAAAAGGCACACTTATAACTACGAAAATTAATATTTAAAATTTAAAACGTAATCAAAAACGTACTCACTTAAAGAGCAAAAACCTTATTCACTTAAAGAGAAATTTACACTATTACTGGTGCTAATAAAGCAGTCTGGTTTGTATGAAAACGTTCTTTATGAAGTGAGCGTTAAATCTATCCCCCCTTTTACTTCTTATCTAACTTCAATAATAATTTAAATATCCTTTCGCGAGGTTTACGTACTGAAAATACTTACGTAGTATTTGAGATGTACTTTAAAAGAAAATTATAATTAATGGAATATAATAAAACCGTTATATTCCTTCTTACCACTAGAAAGCTTACAAATAAGACGAGCTACCAACGATTCAAAACGTTCAAGCAAAATTATGGTGCAACCCATCTAGACTTAGCCAAAAAAAATATGCTTAGAGAATCTGGTGTTCATGAATGTGTTGATTTTTTTAATAATTTTTTCATTTGTTGTGATTTGTTATTGTTATTATCTTAATGCCGTGTTTCAACATTTTCATTTTTTAATCTTTGACGTCGTGCCAGAAGACGTTTTCTTTAAAACTAAACGATCATAGAACATGGAAAATCATTGCAAACTTTGTCTAAAATAGTCTGTTTAATCGCTCAGCAATAGAGTTTTGTTGTGGTGTATAGCTAGAACTATATTCTTGGATTTCCTTCACATGTTTTTAACTTTCTCAATGTTTCCACTACGTGGCTTTGAAATATGCATATGTTATTATATTATTATATTAATTAATGGAATATTATAAAACCCTTATATTTCTCCTTACCACAAGACAGCTCACAAATAAGACGAATTACCATAGATTCAAAACGTTCAAGCAAAATTATGGTGCAACCCACCTAGACTTAGCAAAAAAAATATGCGTAGAGAATCTGCTGTTCATGAATGTGTTGATTTTTTTAATAATTTTTTTATTTGTTGTGATTTGTTATTATTATTATCTTAATGCCGTGTTTCAACATTTTCATTTTTTAATCTTTGACGTCGTGCTAGAAGACGTTTTCTTTAAAACTAAACGATCATAGAACATGGAGAAAATTATTGCAAACTTTATCTAAAATAGTTCTGTTCAATAGCTCAGCAATAGAGTTTTGTTGTGGTGTATAGAACTATATTCCTGGATTTCCTTCACATGTTTTTAACTTTCTCAATGTTTCCACTACGTGGCTTTGAAATATGCACATGTTATTATATTATTATATTAATTAATGGAATATTATAAAACCCTTATATTCCTCCTTACCACAAGACAGCTCACAAATAAGACGAATTACCATAGATTCAAAACATTCAAGCTAAATTACGGTGCAACCCACCTAGACTTAGCCAAAAAAAATATGCTTAGAGAATCTGCTGTTCATGAATGTGCTGATTTTTTTATTTGTTGTGATTTGTTATTATTATCTTAATGCCGTGTTTCAACATTTTCATTTTTTAATCTTTGACGTCGTGCCAGAAGACGTTTTCTTTAAAATTAAACGATCATAGAACATGGAGAAAATCATTGCAAACTTTGTCTAAAACAGTTCTGTTCAATCGCTCAGCAATAGAGTTTTGTTGTGGTGTATAGCTAGAACTATATATCCTGTATTTTCTTCACATGTTTTTAACTTTCTCAATGTTTCCACTACGTAGATTTGAAATATGCACATTTGTTGCTCTCATCTCATTACTAATTTGACTATTATATTCTTAGTTTCTGATTTATTTTGTATGAATCATCAATTAATGTTATATAATACCTTTCATTGTTTTAGTAGCTATATTTGTTGGCTCCAACACATCGGTATAGATTAATTCACCAATTCTCTTTGATCGTGGTTTTGTTGTTTCCTTGAATATGGTAACTGTTGTAATTGTAGCTTTTCCTTCCTTATAGGTTCTACACACTTCATCCGTGAATGTTAAATTCAACAATTGATGCTATGTCTTACGTATATGAGCTTTTTGTACAATGTAATAAGATAACAGAAAATTGGTATTACATTGTGATTACAGATACCACATATTCATAAAAAAGAAAGATACACAAATCGCTCAACAGCTTCATACTAAAAATTTGCCTTCCATAAGCTTCTACAACAGCACGTAAGCGTCGTGGCATTGAAGCAACTAAATTTGTTGTCTTTTTTGCTGTTATTTCAGCCCAAGATCGACTAATGCATTTCAGTGTTTTGATTTTGCGCTGCCGGATCTTACGTTCCAAAAGCTCCCAAACATGCTCGATTGGATTTACATCCGGACTCTGAGGAGGTGTATTCAACTGCCTGGGTGCATAATATAGCAACCAATGTTTGATAAGGTTTGCAGTATGCTTGGGTTTATTGACTTGTTTTCCACTGATGGCTTCAAATTTTATTTTACGTACTTTACAGTTGGAACCAAATTTTTCAACTCCATTACTGCGTTTCGTTTTCTCCAAATTTTTGCCCGACCATTACTTCCAAAAAGGTTGTTCTTCGACTCGTCAGTAAACAAAATCTTGGGTCAGAAATCCATTCCCTTGTCGATATGAGATTGACCAAATTCTAGTTCTTTTTCTGAAATCAGCGGTTTTTTTGGGGTGTCCTGCTGAAAAAATCCATTATCGCCTAGACCTCTTTGTACGTTTTGAATTTGCAGACTTATTAGATACAGTCGTGATGTGGTCAGCTAATTTTAGTGCGCTAACTCTTGGGTTTTTGCTCACTTCTTTTAATATGGAGCTAATCTCTCTTTTAGATAGTTTCTTTGGCCGACCTGTACGAACTTTGCTAGTGAATGAATCAGTCCCATTGTAATTTTTGACGATGGCCTGGACTGTTGCTCGGCTTAGATTTACTATCTTGGCAATTTCGCCTTAAGATTTCTTTTCGATATTTTATCACCAATTTTCTAATTTTAACAGAAATTTTTTTCGCGACAAACTAAATACTAATAACTACAGATTCGTAATCCCTACTGAATTAAGAAAAAAGAAAATGCAATGCCAGCTTCTTTATGCAACTCCTACTTCATTTCTTTAACTTAAGTGTATGTATGTAGACTTTGGTCATGTTAGTTTTTGCATTATTTGTTGAATTTTTATTATGTAGCTATTGAGCGATTTGTTTTGTTTTTTTTTTATGAATAAGTAACTCATAATTAAATAGTGTATGTAGACTTTTGTGCGTCACTGTATATCTTTCTCGGAGACAAGTGCTGTATTTCCATTTAAAGTATTGTTGACCATCATAAATCTTCCTATAAAAAAGTCCATTTTCTGATGAAAACTTTGTTACTTTGTCATCAACTTTTATTTCTCCTCAGGGTCGCCACGTATGAATGTGCAGGTTGTTGCATTTTGAGCAAACATAATAACATTTCAAAGAACAAAAGTACAGATTCACATTTTGTTGAAATTAAGCAATAGACTGTATATACAAAATGAAAATACTTTTTAAAGATAAAGATTGTTTATTTATACGAATCGCCGAGTAGGCGACTACCAGGAACGCTATGCAAACATAAACACGAAACACGATATGTATACCTTTTCTAAATTTTATTGCTTTAGTGCATTTCGGATAAAAACTGATGATTAATGTACGATAACGATAATTTCTTCAGTTCACCTTTCATTATCGTATTATTAGCGAATTCGGCCCTCCTGGGGATGAAATTTGGGAAATAAATTTACCTCATAATAGGGCACGCTTAGAGGTATTGGTACTTTCAATTTTCCCTTTTAAGTTACAGAACGTGACCACCCCCGATCAATTTTGCCTAGATCTTTTTTTGTGAGTGATAAATACGGCAAAAAATCAGTTAGATGAAATCAAATAGATGAAAGTATTAAATTTAATAGTTTCCGAGAAAAAATTATTAAAATTTGTTATGTATCAATCATCTCTCATCCAGGTTTGTTTATTTTTCGGACTGATAGAAGATAATGATATAACCCTTTTACTATCAACGTATCAATATATTCATATTATCAGAATCAGGTTGAACGAAATCCTATATATCTAACACAATATTTTTGCAACCTTTACCATGTTTAATTTCGAAATTAAATTACTTAAGCCTAATTCCCCGAATAACTTTACCAATAGTAATCGTTAATTTAATCCTTTGTTGAGATGTCAGATGTGTATGTACTTACATTCCATATTTTGATTTACTAAAAAAATGCATAATTTTAGAAAAAAATATATGTATATTAAAATATACAAAAGACCCTTCAACAGATTAAATGTAAACACAAAATAAAAACATAGAGTATATTTTACAAGTTAATAAAAACAGTAATACAAAAATTTAGTTGTGGAAGTCTTGTAAACAATTCTTATTTGGAACGAAACATTGAAAAGTCATATTTGATATATTTTACTTTCGCAATTTTCTGACATTTTTTGACACAGATTTTTTGCACTGTGTAACAGGGCATTTCTTTTTTGTGTTTTGATTGTGGCAGTGTGATGCTGGAAGACAGGTGACCCCATTTACTTGATTCTCCAGCCTAACATAAGCTTTGTGTAATGTTTGCTTTGATGTCGAAAAGTGACGGTTGATAGACGCCAGGCAATTACTAGGGTACTTAGGTCAATCTTTCTTGGGCCATATATTAGTTCTACAGGGTCATCCACGACGACCGTCCATTAGAACTTTACAGGGTTCTGGCCAAAACAAAAATTTGAAAATTCAGATTTAAGTATTATTAATTCATAAGTACCGGCATTCCAGCAGGTTCTGAGTTAAGAGACATTTAGATTTAGAACAAAAATGACAAGGAATGACACGTTTTTTATTCTGAATTTAATTTCGATGTACATTTCAAAAGCTACGGGGATGTAGGCAGTAGGCATTATTTTCAGTTACATGTTTAATTTATTTTAATTTTTTCCAACAGGTGTAAATATGTCTCTAAAAATTTATTTTTTACACTCACACATAAATTTCTTCCCGGAGAATCTTGGTGACGTAAGTGATGAACATGGCGAAAGGTTCCACCAACAAATAAAGAACATTGAGCGGCGTTATCAGGGAATTTGGGATGAAAGAATGATGGGAGACTATATCTGGTTCC